CTACTATGGCTTTGTGTGGTCTCAAAATGACGTTAATTTAATGTAGCAATGACAAAATTTTGAGTGCTGCAAAAATTAACAGTGGTCGGAGTGGCAGAATGTCTGTACGAGTATGTTGAGCCATGTTTCAATTCCTCACTCTTATGACTAAAATATAGATTTATAACTTAAATGCATTTAAACATATACACTTCACAGTAGCTCAAAATAAGGGATTAACCTGAGCCAACAGAGAGCTAATAGAGAACAATCAACAACTGATCTCAGAACAGCACTAAAAGGGAATCTAACCACAAAGTCCAATCAGTATAAAGTCACTGCACAAGAAAAAAAAGGTTCAAGTACAAACCTGATTGCCAGGTGCATTTTTGCAATAATAATGCCTGGGAAACCAACTCACTTTTTGAGCTATGAGACTGCATCTGGAGCATTAACCCTTAGATGTCTACAGTTACTACTGTTGTTGTTGTTTTGCTGTAATATTTAACCCTAAGCAGGTACAGTTCCTGACAGCAAAAAAATAAATGCTGTAATTTGATATGAATTCTCACTTATAGTTCATTGAAACAGGCAAAGAAATTCTGTTGACATTTTCAACCGATACCACATTTGTGTTTGTAAGTAGAAGAGGAGATATTTTATTAAGATGTGAATTTAATGGAAAGTTTCATACTGTGCAAAATGTAAATAAAAACAAAATGCAATGATGTGCAAATCATGTAAACCCTATATTTCATTGAAAATAGAACAAAGACAACAAATCAAATGTTAAAACTGAGAAATTTTATTGTTTTTTGAAAATATATGGCCATTGTTGCCAACAACACATTTCAAAAAAGTTGGGCTGGGGACATGTTTGCTACTGTGTTTCATCTCTTCTTTTAACAACATTCTGTAAGCGTTTGGGAACTGAGGAGACCAACTACTGTAGTTTTAAAAGTGAAATGTTTTCCATTCTTGCTTAACATACGATTTCAGCTGCTCAACAATTCAGGGGCTAAGTTGTCGTATTTTTCATTTCATACTGTACAGTGGTGACAGGTCTGGACTGCAGGCAGGCAAATCTTGCACCTGGACTCTTTTAATACAGAGCAATGCTGTAGTAATACATTCAGAATGTGGTTTGGCATTGCCTTTCTGAAATAAGCAAGGCCATCCCAGAAAATGACGTTGTCTGGATGGCAGCGTATGTTGCCAAAACATCTATATATCGTTTAGTATTAATGGTGCCTTCACAGATGTGCATGTCACCCATGCCATGTGCACTAATGCACCCCTACACCATCAGGAATACTGGCTTTTGATCCTGTTTATATATGGTTTCTTTTTTGCATTCTAGAGTTTTAACTTGCAGTAATGAACTGTTTTCATAGACAGTGTTTTTCAGAAGTGTTTCTGGGCCCATGCAGTGATTTCCACTACAGAATCTGTAGTGTTTTCAATGCAATGACGCCTGAGGGCCCAAAGGTCATGGCCAGCAAATACTGGTTTTCGGTCTTGTCCCTTGCATACAGAGATTTCTCCAGATTTTCTGAATCTTTTAATGTAATTATTTACTGCAGATGATGAAAAGTAAAAGTTTTTTTAAAATTTTACGTTGAGAAACATTATTCTTGAATTGTTGCACTATTTGCCTGCACAGTCTTTCACAGAGTGGTGAACCCTCCTCATCTTTACTTCTGAAAGACTCAGCCTCTCTGAGATGCTCTTTTTATACCCAGTCATGTTACTGACCTGTTGCCAATTAACCACCAGGTGTTTTAAGATTTACATAACTTTACCAGCCTTTTGTTGCCCCTGTCCCAACTTTTTTGGAACGTGTTGTTGCCATCAAATTCAAAATGGGCATATATTATTAAAAAAAAACAATCAAATTTCTCAGTTTCACACATCGGATCACTCATCAGACTCTGTCCTCACAATCCAGAGTGATTTCATCCAGCTATGACCATCCATCAGCAATCCAGCTCGAAAATCACCCAAACCCCACTCACTACTGTTATATTACATCTCCGCTTTTAGCCTTCATATTATAAACAAATGGCTTTCAGTTTACATTGATTATTAAAAATATCTGATATTAAATATGCAGCCCAATTTGTAATTAAAAATAAAGCCTGTCTTGCTGTGTATCAGAGTTTTAGCACTGGGCATTAATCCAAGAGAACAGAAAATCAATAAAAACATGTCTGCCTTATGCTAGTTGTTTATATTTACTCACAATCCTAAATAACCAATAGCATAAATCAACATCAAAATTATTGCACTTTCAGCTCACAGACACTCCAGACTAACAATTTCTCAAAGGATAATTACTACTCCACTTGTTTTCAAGATCTCCTTAATTAAAAAAATACAAAATTTACCAGAGGCTAGGTAAATTTTTCATTGGAAACGACCCGAATTCATAAAGAAGTCAAATTTCTGTTAGCATTCACATGTCACACCTTCTGTAGCGGAGACCGACATCTCTCACTCCGTCCAGCACTCCAACTCCCAGAATTCACTGGGAGGTCACATGATCAGGAACTCTCAGCCATCCACCTACCAACGTTCACGCTCACCTGAGTATTGATTGTTTTCACCTGTTTTAAGGACTATAAATGTTTGTCTGCTATGCTTTTTCTTTGCAAAGTATTGTTACATCCCTGTGCATTACCAAGCCTTGTTTATGTGTATTGACTTTCCGGTTTTTTGAGATTCTGCCTGTTTCCGTTTACGACTTTAGCCTTATCCTTTTGGACTCTGTTTTGATTTCGTGTGTACCGACCCTCGACTGCTTGTACTTTGATTACAGATTCTCCCTACATTAAAATAACTTTTTACTATAGCCTGCTCTGCGCTCGTCTGAACATTCATCAGCCCTTACAATGTCAAACAATGGCATATCGGAGTAGCCCAGGGTCTTCTGAATATAACAACTTATGGCATGTGTTACTGTCACATGTAAATTCTTTATAATTGCAATCTGCTGATTAACGTATTCTCTCTGCAATGTCTCATTAGGACCTGAAGATCCCATTTAACCACCTTATACGCATCTTATGAGCACCTTATAAAAAGTAGCAGTTTAGGACCATCACAATGAAAGGGGTGTTATGACTCAGGTAATTCTGCTACTATGATTTGATTCATTTGTTCGTTCATTCATAATGAATAATTTATAATACAGTTAAACAGCGAATTCTCGTTTTGAACAAAACCAAATTCTCACACAGAGTATGTTAGTACAGCTCCGGAATGCCTGGCCCCACCTATTAACACAGCTTCACACTCAAGAAACATAACCGTCAAACAATATTCCATCAACAGCCCCACGGTTTTTAATATTTTAGTGGATTAATACAGATTTTAGTTGATGTGTGCGGTCAAGGTTTTACATATATCATATAGCATTTTACAAAGGCTTCAAATGTGGCTCATGCAAACAGATTTTCCCTGTTTATACAGATATAAACAGATATCACTATTATATAAACACTTACAACCAGGACTGGGAAAACAGTTTTGACGGAGTATCTTTCATGAGGTCTGGACTGGACTTTTGGATCCCTCTTATGGTCATCCGTACAAAAGTTTGGGCACCTCTGGTCAAATTTTTCTAAGTGAAAATAAGCCAAAACATCCTCTACAGTGACACACTTTGGTACATTTTTATACATTTGCTGAATGTAACAAAAAATAAAACATAAAATGTGGTCTGTGCATTATTTTTTCCCAACATGTTAAACTCAACAAATAGAAAATGTGCCCTAAAATTGCAGAAAAATGCCATATTTAAGTTTGTAAAGCTGTAATTTGGCCAGGCGTGTTCGACTGTACAAATTGCAAAAAAAAACAAAACCTAAATTTAGACAAATTTCCAATATCGGAATAAAATAATGAGAGTCTTGTTAGGTTTGCGTTGCGCTTGCGTCATCTCAATCGTTTGGTGTAAGGTGGTCAAGATGGCAGTCTTAAGTCAGTCTTTTTCTTGTCTTGACGCTGCGAAAAAATCAACCGTGTTAAATATTATTGTAAGTTTTAAGTCTTGGCTCATGCGAACAGTGATGCGCCTGGGGCAGGCGAGCGCATGTGAGGTAGAGAGAGCGAGAGAGAGAGCGAGAGGGAGAGAGAATGTACGTGTGAGAGCCTGAAATCTCTGTAAAAATGGCAAATCTGCTCCACTTTAATACAATAATCATAACTTAAAAGGTAAACTGACTTGCAGAGGACTTTAAGAATGGCGTTACTGAAGAATCATCGATTGTTTTTTTCCTTTTTTTTTTTTTTGCTGTTTGTTTTTATAGTTTATTTCATAACACCCAATCAACAAGGCTAAATTGCTGCATGTTTTGTTGATGTGTTTATGTCAAATTTAAAAAGTAACTGTACATTTTACAGGTTAATTAAAAAAAAAATCTGGGTTAGCTTCTGCCAGAATATACAGTTCTACAGTGAACTGGGCTGAGCCCCACATCTTTACACACCGAGCCAATGTACCTTCCCATCTGTACCACTACAGAGTGGAAGGAAAAGTGTTTATCTGCTTGTAAATTTCCACCAGGTGCATGATGGGGAATAATCTCACAAATCTAGGTGCAGTCTTGCAAATAGTGACACTGCAACATTCCTAGTCTTTGCAAAACCTGTGACACTGTCTTTAGGTGTGAAAGGGTGTCAGACTTCAGTCTTTTCAAAGTCTTTTCAAAGTCTTCTGGTGTATGGTTAGCATTAGAAAGCTTGGTCTCAAGATATAACATTTGTTTTATAATAAGCATTGCAGCATGTCTAAACTCAAGAACCACTAGTACCAATGATTAAAAGTGAAAGGTATTGTAATGTCAGAATCAGATGAAGCAATTCACCACAGGAGGTCACAATGAGCCCTCTTCTTCCACCACCTCTCAACACCAAAACACCCAAAGTCTATAACCACACCTTATAAAACACACACACACACACACACACACTGCAGGTGGCAGAACGGCAAGTAAATCTGAAGCACCACCCTCTTTTTTTTGCTGTGAATGTACAGCCATTAGAGCCACCTGACTCTTCCAGAAGAGATAAGGACAACTGGCAACAACAGAACAACAGAAGCCTTTCTTACATTTATCTGCCTGCACTTCAATAAAGAAACTTCCAGACAAGGTGAGATAAGTAAATCTACTTATTACCTTATTATTATTATTATTATTATTATTGCTGCTATTAAAGCTACAACTACTGCAGCCTGATGGTGGTGGAAAGTGAAGCACATATTTTCATCAAAGCACATTTACATGTTGTCCCCTCATTTCAGGAAAGCAATGTGACAAATTATACTAATGACACTTATACTAATGAGTACTTTGTTGCACATTAATTAATGAAAGCGGCCCATGCAACAATAGTTTGTGTACATATATCGTATCAACAGAGCCACATTTTTCTCAGATTTACATTTGCAGATGCATTATCATTAAAACAGATGGAGGTGCATTTTCATTAAAACCAGTTTGTAAATAATGTATAATTTGTCAATTAAATGTGACCGAATTTTGAAACATCTTTGGTGGCGTGAAATGGACACTAAATTCCCTGCGGGTACCAAACAATACTTTTTTGACTTTTTTTACTGAACTTGATGTAATACATCTACATCTATCAATGAGGCAGCCCTGAATTCCTGACAGTGCATAGAACGTAAAGAATAAGAATCACACGTTAAACATAACAAAGAAAAAGTAATATTTTGCTTCTGGTCATGTCAGTACTGAGACATTAAGTACAAAAATACCAAGCAAGACAAAATACTGAAAGAAACACAAGTATGTTGTCGGGCCCAAAAGCCTCTCTCCTGTGCTCAAGGCCCGTGGACAGAGATGGATCCTCCTAGCGTGTTCTAAAACTGTTACTTTAAGAACTAACTGCAATATAACTTCTTCTAACAAAATAAGAAAAATGTCAAAGTGTAGTCGCTGAGTTCTTGTGGAAGGAAGGAAAAGGCCTTCTCCTTTATTGAGCTTGGATGGCAAGATGGTTCCCGGACAACCACAATGCAAAGAACATGTCAAAAACACCCACTTTTATATTCTGTTTGGGGCGATGAAGAAATCGCCCCTCCTTTTCTATGGAATTCTATACCGTCTTAGTTCCCATTATCTCCAAACCTTACATGTACATGGGAACCGTCACATCTGCACTTGGGGACCCTTATTTCCAATCATACGTGAAATATGCTTTTTTAAAAATATCTTATCTTAGTTGTACCAGAATGTTCCAGTACCCAAGGACATTAGCTTTTGACTGGTTGCATTGTAAGTTCACCTGTTCCAGGGCTAGTTCTTATCTCAAGGGCAGTTCTTCTTGCTCACACAGCAGATCCTAACAAGCTTCAGGAGGCCCCTTTTACAAACAGGCTTTGAAGCTAAGGCCTATTTTACAGTGTGAAGATTACTATTCTATGGTTAGTAAACACTACTTGTTAACATTATCAGAAAATAAAGATTATTTCTTCAAAACATCTGTCAATGTCACACAGGAATGAGGACTAACAAGAACGTTCACTGTTAGAAATAAAGGTTCTGTGCAGGTACATTTTTGGTCATCCAGATACAAATAATGTAAATGTTCCCTCAAAGAGAGTCTCAAACATATATAAAGCACATATAATGTGTGAATATTCATTTCTCTCCAACTGTGGTTTTAAGGTCCAATTGTGTACCTTAAATAAGTTTTTCCAGATGAAAAGTACATATTTGTATCTTTTCATAACCTAATATTATCAACAATAAAATAAAAAGACTGGAGATGAGACGGAGTGTGTGGAGTCAATATAACTGCCCCAGTGACAGTTTCGTATCTTTATTTCAGAGAGTGTAGGCCTAAGGAACAAGGAACACAAACAAAAACAAACAGAAGGGAAAAATTCATGAACAAACTTTAAGTTGGCTTGACAAAGCCGTTACTATGCGGTATGGTGAGAAGTGGTGAGAAGTCTGTTTCCCAAGGTTTTTAAGCAAACCTCTAAGATGACAATCTACAGGACAGTAAATACACCAGTGAATAAATATTTGTCTTGGAGCTGAGCATTTTTAACCAAAATGTGAGTAAATCTGTTCCGCTGTACAGCCCACGTTCGCTCTCCAGTTCAGTTTTACCTCCTTTTTGATCAGTTACCTTGTTTAAAGTACTGCGGTAAAGTTAGTCCAGGGGTCAGCAACATGCGACTCCACAGCAGAATTTGATTTTTAGGTAAATATAAAATAATCCTCCTTTGCAGCTAAATAAAGCTGCTGATCGTTCTAACACAGTTGTAGCAATAAATGGTCTTAAACGCCGGAGTTGTATCATGTGTAACTGCTAATTCACCCTTTGTCCTTGAAGGTGGCGTGCAGACTGCTGGTCACCTCAGGCACCATTTAAGGTGGAATGGAAACATTCGAACAAGAAACTGGTGAATGAGAAGCTGACTTCAGTCCCTGCAAAAAGTCGAACATTAAGAGACATTTTGTAAGAAACTGTTCTGCTTTTGAGGAAAAGTTTCCTGCTGCAGATGCGAAAAAAGCAGCTATAGCTGAGCTAAAGCTTAAAGCTTTCTGCGTTTTTTTTTTTTTAATACTTTTTAGTCTATTCTAGCACATCGGTACACACTGAGATATATTTACAGCCAAGATGGTAAAATGGACATAACATGTTGTGGCTCCCAAGGTGGTCTGATTTTTGTTGAAAGGAAAAAATGGCTCTTCTTAACATTTTGGTTGCAGACCTCTGAGTTTTATATATATATATATATATATATCCATTACCCCAGTCCTACTCAAAACATCACTGGTTTCTACATTAGTTGTTTTGGTGTGTCAACAGCATGTAATACATCTTCTGCACCCACAACATAGGCAATAAACATAGAGTGAATAACAAAGCAAAATGACTCAAATTATCTGTCTATTTTTTCATTACCATTTAAGCATGTTTTGGAGGAATAATCTAACCAAAGAATTGTCATATTAATCTTAACTGTATCCATTTTAACGATTCCTTTTTCTTTTATTTATCCCTTTATATGTATCATTCTTTGACTTTAGACTAACTCTTTTGCTTTGAGTGACCCTACACCTTAAATATGTTTATTTAAAAAAAAAAAGATTGAACATTCCATTTCAATCATGTCAAAAATGCTAGCCAGTACATGACTAGCAAACACAGCTTTGAACAGTTTTACACACATAAAATCATATTTTATAAAAAAACATAAAAAGTGACCATTCTTAATGTTACACACTGACTTTCTGACTTTGGGATACATGTACTTCAAAACAATGGGATCTCACTGCTCACCATGTTGCCATGAGTTACAGGGATGTAGTCTCACTTCCTGCTCTAAAATGCAGGGGTGTGGCTAAAATAAGACTCCACCTATAGACTAAAACAGTTCTGGTAGTGACATGAAAATGTGCAACAGCATTTTTGGAATAAGGCATTTTATTTAAAAATTTAACTCATGATACAAACTGTAAACTTTTAAAAGAAATTTTTAATTAATTTTTCTTTACAAACAAAAACTGCAAAAAAAGAAAGTATTACATTTTTCGGTTGAAATGTAGGGGTTAGGATATGGGACAGCTGCTTCCCTATAGAAAGTACCCCATATTACTCTCTCAATTAATGCCTTGGGTTTAAATAAATCATACTCTTTGTAAATATCTGAGGTCTAAGTACTTAATTTGTAATTCTTTTTTTGCTGTGGGACTGTAGTTTGAACTAATTTGATAGAACTGTACAAATATTCCTTTATTTATTGCTTTGTTTATTTATCTTGACAGTCATGGAGCCTAAAACGATTGAAATGGCAGCCCTGGGAAGGGCCCTGTATCCTGGCATGTTGTACGACTGCCGCAGAGATTCTTTCATTCCAGGTTTCGTATACTAATCGAAATATTGTTTACTTCAAGCAAACTCAATGGGAACATCCACATATCTGACCATTCACATGTATTTATCTTACAAAATAGTTAGAGGCCACAACTTTTACTTTTAGTTATTTACTTATTGCCTCATGTGCTACTTCCTAGGACACATAATGGCTAACTTACAAAATGATGTGGCACAGAATTTAGTCTGAGACATTGGCCCTTATCAAATTTGTGTAAAACAAAGCAAACAACAAAACATGTTAGTTGATTTTTTTTTCTAAAGATGACTGAATGCGCTGTGTGATTATTTTCGTAAAATAAAATTAAACGCAGTGTATGATATGTTGATGGTGACGAATAATGGCTATTGCTATTGTAAATTTATTCATGTTAGTCATTGCCAGGACCTTCAGTAAGCAAGCTTACAGCTAAAGCTATGTATGAAAACAATTCAGTATAAATTCTAGAAAATAGTCTTCTAATCAAAAACATCCAGCCATTTGTGTTCCTGCGTTTCTCACTACTGACGAAGAGCTACAGACTGCAGAGACAAATAGTGGATGAAAAAAACATTACCTCATCTTTAACAGTAGACCTACAGTGTACTAACAAGGACAAGCATATAATAAATTAACCAGTGATCAAAGAATAAGCTCCAGACTCTCACTCATTTCAGGTGTTACTCTATGGGATAAACAGTCTTTGTCCAAGGATTTGGATGTGCATCGACAGCCCAAGACTGATCTGAAATTTGTTGCTTCTGACTCACTCCGGGATAAGGCCAGCGTCCTTGATGTCAGCGCCTCCCTCAAAGCCAGCTTTCTGGGTGGTTTAGTGGAGGTTGGAGGCTCAGCCCGATACTTGCGTGACAAGAAGTCCTCAGACCGTCAGTCTAGAGTTACTATGCAGTACAGCCAGACAACAAGATTTGAGCAACTTACTATGACCCAGCTGGGCAAAATCTCCTACCCTGAGGTGTTTGAGCAGAAGACCGCCACTCATGTTGTTACAGCTGTACTGTATGGGGGTCAGGCCTTCATGGTGTTTGACAAAACAGTCTCAGAGAATGAGGACAAACAAGAGGTTGAGGGAAATCTGAGGGGAATGGTTAAGAAGATCCCTTCATTTTCCATAGAGGGGGAAGGAGCTCTAAAGATGAATGAGAATGAAAAGAAACTGGCTGATAATATCAGCTGTACATTTTATGGTGACTATGAGCTCGAGGAGAACCCCACCACATACATGGAAGCCTTGCAGCTGTACAAGAAGCTACCATCTTTGCTGAGGCAGAGGGAGAATGATGCTGTGCCTGTGAGGGTTTGGCTCCATCCCCTGGCACGTTTGGACAGTAAAGCAGCTAAGCTGGAGAGAGAAATCGGAGCAACGCTCATAACTAAAGTCGAAGGCTTGTTGGAGGAGCTGGGAGATGCAGAGAGGAGATGCAATGATCTGGTTCAGAACACAGCAGTAAATGATTTCCAGGATGTGGGGGAAAGGCTGCACATATTTCAAGAATCGTTTGGTATCTACAAGGTGTTGTTACAAAAAGCTCTGGCCAGTGTGCTTCCTGCTATTCGGGGTGGGGAGGTGAAAGACAGTTCACTGGCTGACATTCTGACTACCCATGCCAACTCCCCCTTTAGGGCTAGCAAGCTAAAGCAGTGGTTAGAGAATGTTAATGGTGAACTAGATCTGCTGAGTTCCTACACCAGGGAACTGAGTGAAGTCCCGATAATCACATCCTCAGCCCAGTTCAACAGCATCCTCTTCAGTCCCATGGTGGATACAGTCATATGCTTCTCCTTCACTTCTGTGAAGTATGAAGATCCATATCTGCAAACCATAACAGAGTTCCTGACAGCAGATCCATTTGAAAAGCAGTCAACAGTTCCAAAATCAAGTGACCAAGACATCAAGCCTTGGTTCAGCAATCCTGAAATATCTAAGAAGATGAAAGAGAACCTTTCCCTCTTCAAAAGTTTTTTTAATGCCAATAAGGATAAGAAGACAGCCAAGTTTGTCATTTCATCAATCTCAGACCCCTCCAATCCTGGCATCTCCATCCGCCTGTATAAACAAGAGAAATTAGTGGATGGCCACTTTCAGCCAGTGTCAAAGCCTCCTGCTCCCAGCGTGGACATTCAGAATAGGAATGTGATTCTGAAGCTTCAGAAGTCCCCAACTGGAGTGACAAGACAGTACAGAGTGGAATACAGAGTAACACAGCCCGATGCTTCAGGAGCTGATGGTGGCGCTTGGGAGACCATAGACACTCCAGATGCACAGGAAACCTTCACTTTAACTGGACTGCAGCTAGCCAACCAATACTGGGTCCGGTACAGAGTGGTTAGTGATGTGGGAGTGAGTGAAGCCAGTGAATCTGTCCAGTTTTCCCTCCAAGGGAAGGTCACCGTTCCAGTGGGCAAGTCGTGGGTTAGTACAGAATTTCTTACTTTTCTTGTTATTGTTTTTGTAGCATTTACAAGATTTTGCATGACTTTTAATATTAGCATGTAGGCTTTGGTAAAACCTCAGCAAAATCAGTTAAAATTGGTCATGTAATTTCTGAATATTTGTGGGCCCAAATTACTTGGGAACCTCACCTGCGTCATTTACAACCCCATTTCCAAAAAAGTTGGGATGCTGTACAAAACGTAGAAAAAAATAAACTAAATAAAATAAACCCTATATTTAATTCAGAATGGCGCAAAGACAACATATAAAATTTTGACACTGAAAAATGTTATTACAAATACATACCCATTTCGAATTTGGAGCCAGCAACACCTTCCAAAAAAGTTGGGTCGGTGGCATGTTTACTTGTTTTGCACCACCTCTTAATTTAACTACACTCTAAAGGTTTGGGAACTGGAGAGACCGAATTCTCTAGTTTTGAAAGTGAAATGTTTCCCCGGTTTTGTATATAGGATTTCAGCTGCTCAACAGTTTGGGGTTTTCTTTATTGTAATTTTTCGTTTCATAATGTGCCAAATGTTTTCAGTGGTGACAGGTCTGAACTGCAGGCAGGCCAATTTAGCCCCTGGACTCTTTTACTATGAAGCCATGCAGTTATAATATATGCAGACTGTGGTTTTACATTGTCTTGCTGAAATAAGCAAGGGCTTCCCTGAAAAAGACGTCATCTGGACGACAGCATGTGGTGCCAAAACCTGTATATATCATTCAGCATTAATGGTGCCTTCACAGATGTGCAAATCACGGAGTGTAGTTAAAATAAGAGTTGATGCAAAACAAGAGTAAGGGATCATTTTTGCTTTCTAGATTTGTCTGGAAATAAAAAAAACAATGTATATGTACTTGTGGAGCCTCTGGTGGTTTGGAGGCCCTAAGCGACTGCTTATACTGCTTACAGTGAGAAACAGACCTGAAATTATATTTCTTCATAAATCTAAAGAAATCAAATCAAGAGAATTAATTTTTTCAAATTCATCTCATGGCAGTTATCAAGAAATGCAATAAATCAGTATATCAAGTTCAAGTCACTGAAAAAATCTATAATATCCTATCATATGTTTGCATTCTACACAGAACTGGACCTCTTCCTCCCTCTTTAATGAACTAAGGAAGAAAATAATGACCAACTTGGGCGTCTCACGGTGGAGTCTGTCAACCATCACCTCAGAAGTTTTGAATCAGCTCAGCGATATTGTGAGTAGTTTCCATTACAGTGTGGCTCAAGAGTGTAACAACTTCAGTGAACATAATCTGACCGTTTGCAAAATTCTAAACTGCCTCCTTTAGTTACTATGTTAAATATGTTAGCTCAGACTCCCTGGTAGCATCTGAAACACTTGTATTAACAGACTGAAAACTTTTTGCAGCCCAAAGGAAAATGTAAAAGCATGCAGAGGAGTACATTTGAAATCATTATTTAAAAGATGTTTAGTGCAGACATAAATATTTGAGACCTGGCAACATTAATGCAGGCCAGTTTACAGCAAAAGATTCTGGAAACGATGTTTTCATTAATCAAACCAGGGAAGTCTTTTAGCCACTGAGCATAAAAAAACAAGGAACAGGTTTAAGCCATAGGTATACATTTATCAAGTATGTCCAATCTTATCTGCAAAGGGCCGATGTGGCTCCAGGTTTTTATGCCAAACGAGCTGAAGAGTTCAGTCTTCAAACATTCGATCAGGTGAGCACATGGTTGGAATAAAACATGCAGCCACACTGGGTTCAGTAAGGCATGTCAACGATGCTGCCATTTTGGCACTGTCAACACCTGTAAGTATCAAATAAATGTAAACCTACACATCAATTCACTTTGATAGTGCGTTGTATTAGCTTCCTTATTTAAATTTTGTTGACAAGGACACATCTTGTACACTAGGACTTTTAACTAACTTTAATAAAGCAAAAACAAATTATGGCATTTCTGTGATGGACTGGCGAGCTGTCCAGGGTGTTTCCTACCCTCTGCCCAACGTGTGCTGGGATAGGGTCCAGCAACCCCCGCTACCCAGGAGGATAAGTTCCTTAGATGATGAGCGAGTGAGCGAGTGAGTGAGTGAGTGAGTGAGTGAGTGAAATGTATATTATTTTATTATATTATTTTTCATATACAAAAATATCAACAGCAATTGGAGATAAATTGGAGAACAAAAGGGCAAATCCACATCAAGTTAAAAAAACAGACAATGAGTCCAAAAAAACAGAGTAATGGGATACATGAAAAAAACAGCTAAGAACTGACACAAAGACTGGCAATACCTCACAAGGAGTGAGAGTCTGTGTATAAGTAGGCTAAGTAATGAGGAAACATGAATCATGTGTGTAAAATGGGCAGAGACCAACCATCAGTATTACAGAGAAGCAGATCTCTGAAAGGTGGTTATGCGTGAGGGCATGATAGAACACACCTCCCAACGTTCGTCTCCAAGCACACTACATTCCCAGCTTGGGGGCAGTCCCAAGGTCTCGGAGCAGGTCCAGTAGATATTGGATGCACCCATCCCATGATGGGGGGCATTACCCAGTGAAGCAGGGATCACTGGTCTGAGGAGGGAAAAGTGAAAGCTAGGTGAGACTTTATCATGACAGGGCAACTGCAACTAAGACCAATAGGTTGTTAGACCAGTGGAAGCATTATGAAGAGAACGTTGTGCATATAATGCCCATGAAAGGAAGCGTGACCACTTCCCCTGCTGATCTTGACAGTAGTGTTCCAGTGTCGCCAATTTTTCTGGTGAGGCACTCAACCTGGCTGTTTGTTTGAGGGTGATATCCTGAGGTAAGGCTGACCATCATCACCAGAAGACAGCAGCGTGATGGTGATTCTATAGTCCACAATCATCTTTTTAGTTTCACTGATGTTGAGAGGTTGTTGTCCTGGCACCAGCTGGTTTGTGACTTCACCTTCTCTCTGTAGGCCATCTTGTTGTTGAACGTGATGAGGCCCAGGATGGTTGCGCCGTACACAAACTTGATATTGGAGCTGTTCTTGGCAGCACAGACATAAGTGAACAGGAAAGCACAGGAGGGGGCTGGGCACACAGCGCTGTGATGCACCCATGTTGAGGATCAGCAGATAGAGGTCTCCAGTCCAAAATCAAGGAGCTTGGAGACAAGTTGTGAGAGAATGATGGTATTGAATGCTGAGCTGTAATCAGTGAAGAGCATTCTCTCTGTTCTCCTTGTGAGGCCTGAAGAAGACGGCCATGGAAGAGTATATTCAGGAGGCATTTGCCTTCATACAGGTTTCCTACAGCCCTCCACCTCACTGGCAGAGGCCAGCGGGGAAGATAGATAGGGTCTCCATCCTTGTATAGACTATAGGGGATTTAACAAGATCATTATGAAGGACTGATAACCCCTACTCCTCATTAACAACACCATTTGAGTTGCTGCAGCAAGCATCAGTTTTTTCCTAAACTGGACCTGTGCAGCACCTTTATCCAGGTTAGATGGGGGACGAATGGAAGATGGCTTTCACCACTTCATGATGCAATTCGGGTTGATAAATGCCCCAGCTATCTTACAGCACTACATCACTGAGGTCCTCAGGAAAGCCCTCGAGCGCTACCCCGTCACATCAAATGGGCTCTCTTTTTTTGTCCGGTTAAGAGTTCAAATCGTATCGACTGGGTTCAAAAAATGACAAGCCCTGTGAACTGCCCAATCCGGTAACACTGGTTTTCCCTTTGCTTAACAGAACAACTCAGAGACAGCTGTGATTGGCTGAGAGGCATGTCAATCTTTATTTTGCAAACAGACAAATAGTTCTCTCTAATTCAGTGTCAATTCAAAGGCTTTACACTAGATGTTAGAAGATTGCTGTGAGGTTTATTGCATTCAGCCACAAGAGCATTAGTGGGGTCAGGTACTGATGTTCGAAGCTTAGTCCTAGATCATTCCATCCCATCCCAAAGGTGTTCAGTAGTGCTTCATCCCTCCAAAAAATATGATTCTACTGCTCCATATAGCTTTAAATACACTGATAAAAACTGTAGAGTTCAATAATTTCATGGGACGTATGGATTTATAACGTAGCTGGCTTTTTAGTTACATGTCTTGCTAGCAAACTATCACTATACAGTAAATGCGTTAATAAGTCCAGTACAAACTTTTACAGACGATTTATTATAACTCCTTTAGCAGACTTAGATAACCAAATGGATACTTTCACAGCCTTTTGGCCTAATTCACCTCTATATTGACGTTGGTTTCATTTAGGGATATTGGGCAAAGAGCTATGACCTTTTAACCGCTTCATGCCATGTCTCTATGTAAATTTTTTAAATCATGCATTTACATTAAATCATGAAAATAAAATTAATTTGTTTGAATTAACGTAAAATATTGCTTTTACCCATCTAAACTAAACATTTGCTTTGCAGTGTTTCATTCAAAGTATTTATTTGAGTTGAATAAAACTAGTTAAATTGTTTGTTGTTCATTTGCTAGGTTGAACTAATGAACCATTTCTTTACAGCGCACTCCTTATGTAGGCCCAATTTCTGGAGGGCTGAGACCCGGGATAGCTCTGTACTTCCAAGGGGTTGTTAATCCAGATGCCAATGAGTATGAATTTCTAATATGTATAACACAAAATACTTTATGTATTTTACATATAACTACTCTTCTTTGAAATGAGCATTTTTTTGCATCCCATGCAGCATCATGATAAATCATAAGCTAGGACCGAAAGATGGCGATGATGTTGCTTTTCACTTCAACCCCCGTGTCTACAACAACTCAATGGTTCGTGACAGCTTCAGAAACGGAAAGTGGGAGAGTATAGAAGAGTCTCAAGGGTGTCCCTTAGTGAGGGGATCAGCCTTTGATATCTTCATTGTTGTCAAAACAGACGGCTACGAGGTATGGGGTTTAATTGAGTATGTGGTAAAAAAAAATAAAATAAATAATGTAAATAAACAAAAAGATTTATGAACATCAAAAATAAGACTATTATATTTTCTTTCCAGGCATATGTAAACGGCCAGAAAAAATGCTTCTTCAAGCACCGAATGCCAATTGAGAAAGTGACCACACTTCACATCAAAGGAGATGTCTTCATGAACACCATTGGTTATGTAGCAGTAAGTCAGTTTCTCAGTGCTAAATGGATAAAATCTGATTGGAAGGGCCACGCTGCTGTGAATGGACTGTTTCTGCTCACATTGACCACCAAACATATAAATGAAGCAAGAAGCCTCTTTTGTTTAAACTGAGGCGAGATAAGCTGAGAACATTTTTCTCAAAAAATAGGCTAAAAGATAGCAGACTAAACATTTAAAGAAGCTAAAAGATAGCTAACAGACTAAACCATTCCTCTGTTAATTTCAGTATTGGAGTTTGACTTGAAGTATTCACTGAATGATTTGCTGTAAAACTGTAAAATAAATAGAATATGTTCCTTGAATTTCATACACTTCAAATGTTAGTGTTATTGGTAGCTCTGCTTTAAGTAGTGTTACTGTTGCAGACACAACACAGGAAATTCCACTAGGGCTAGGTGCCAGTAGAAATTAACATTATTGCTTCAGTGGCAATTGGCTGAGCAAAAACTACTTATAAGGCACTAAAAATGGAAAAGTTCATAAATTGACTGCAGTATACTGGAAGTTAATTATAACTTATTTATTGAGAATTTGTGCATTGTATCATGTTTTATGTTGTTGGCAATAAGCCTCCTGATTATGAAGAACACCCATGACCAGTAATAAAAACACAGCAACTTAGAGCATATTGTGGCTATTGTATTATATTTTTCTGTAATGTACCACGTCATTTAGAATAACCAAATAAATATAAATACAATAGCATTATATGGTGCTACGAAACATGGTAGAACTCAGCAGTTACCAGTGGACCACCAAAGAAATCAAAAAGTACTTTTTCAGCTTCCTAACATCCCTTGTAATCCAGAGCAACCAGGGATTTTTGGGGGGGAAATGCATAGTAAGTTTCCTTCATTACCATTCTTTGTCTACTCTTTGCTCAGAACTGGAGCACATCCACTTTTGGTAAGGAACAAAGCCCAGGAGTCTCACGTGGGAAGTTTTCCCAGATCCAGTTAGGAGTGCCATATCCAGTCTGCAACCCTGTAAGTAACATGGCACTTGAGAATGGTTTAACAGGCAAGAAATGTGAATTAAGGTTTTATGAAAACATAAGTTTCATTTTGTAATAATTATGCTAAGAATCAGAAGAAGTAATGTTTTTTTTTAAATCTAAGGATGTGCAGTTATTCTTTGCCTACACCTACAATTCTTATGATCACCACAGAGCATACCTTTTGTGGGACCACTCATTGGAGGGCTGAAAGTAGGACTGGCTTTGTTCTTCCAAGGTGTTGTTCCTTCAGATGCCAATAGGTACGTTCCCATGGTACTGGCCAGAGGTGGAAAGTAACAAATTACATTGACTCTTGTTACTGTACTTGCGTACATTTTTCCCTGTAGTGGTACTTTTTGGAGTAAAATTTAAGCACAGTACTTCTACTCTCACTTAATTTATAAGGAAACACTTTGTCTTGTTAATTTAATGTTTAATAATGTTAGAGTAAAATATATTATGAGCTTATCAGCTTATAAACCAATTAGAAGAAAGCCTAGTTGAATTTAAAAGATTTGCCGACCAAAACACAGCAACTCCCAGCTACAACAACAGTACACAGACCTCCAGTTTAGTGTAGGAAGAAAGAGGAGAACTCTACCAGCACACATAAGGAACAGACTTTATCCAAATGGTCACCTATATTCGTTTAAAAATTAACTAAAGATAACAGTGTTATCACAAAATGTGCCGAGATCTCTGCTTACACAACTCAACTTCAGCCTGATGGAGCAGCTGACTAGCTAGGTAACCAGTCACTGAAAATTACATATTGAGTAATCTACTTTTAATTTTGACTCAATCAAATCTTTTTTTATAAAGCAGACTAAATTAAACAAGGAAAAACCATGTACAGCCTTTCAGGGCATCTAAATTACTTTGTTGGAAACAGATAAACTAGCAAGTCTTATCTAATCATCTAACCACGAAGAACATGTAGTTTAACTTTTTTCCTCACATATCATGCTTTAGTTTTGTCTGTACAGATTATCTCCACTGATTTATCCAACTCAACTCAGAAACATTTTCAGACTGTGATTGCAGATATACAAAAAAGTAACTTGAATACTCAAGTAGTTTTCCAATAAACAACTTATTTACTCTTACTTTTTTTTAAATTTTCTTTATTAAAACTTTTACTTAAGTAGAGATTTTCAGTACTCTTTCTGCTCCAATACTATATGTGTGTGTGTGTGTGTGTGTATGTGTGTATATATATATAATATATATATATATATATATATATATATATGCGGGAAAAAATCGATTCTTAGATGCATCGCGATGCAGACGTGAACAATTCTGAATCAATTCACAAATGTCAAAAATCGATTTTCGAAATATTTCATTTATAACGTAATGTTGACAGAATGCAAAAGGTGGAAATTGGAAGTGCAGAAGTGCAGTGCCCGGACAGTCTGTGGCGGCACATAACAAAAACACAAGTGGTAGAGCGAGAAATCTGATCGGCTCCCTCTGCATTAAAAGCCAGGAGTCACAACACAAATTATAACATTTTGTCCTTTCAACAAAAAACAAACCAGCTTGGGAGCCACAACACTTAATGTCCAGTATGTCTCAGTATGTGATGATGTCCTAGTGTAGGCTAAACAATATAAACGAAAACGCAGATTTACTTTGCTGTGATTTAAGCTTTAGCTCAGCTATAGCCGCTTTCCTCCCATCTCCACCAGAAAACTTTTCCTCAAAAGTAGATCAGTTTCTTGTAAAATGTCTCTCACCGACTGTTTTACGAGGCTGAAGTCGCTTCTTATTCTATTTTAACGTACCAGGTAACCAACTGCGCTGCTTATAAATGCGAATAACGCATCGTTGCTAGGTGACCTGCAGTCTGCACGCCGGTTCTCAGTCGTTGCGAAACAGGGCTTTCGCGCTATGTTGCACACGTCCCATCTGAAAGATATTTTACTGACACAGCGATCCCCCAACTCTCTACAATGAGACCAAAACCGAAGTTATAAAATCACTAAAGAAAACGGGTAGAATAGCTATAACGTGCTGCGTGGACATCCACTGCCACTGGATCTTATTTCACCGTAACTGCGCATTTTATCGCAGATGAGTAGCAGCAGCTTCTCGTGCTCCAAACAAGAGCACTGAATGAGAGCCTTCTAGTTCACTTGCCACATCACTTCCATTTGTTTTATTAAAAAAGAAATTGGAAGTAAATTCATTATGGATCATTACAAATACTGTGCTTTAAAAGTACTAAGTCACTTTAAATAACAATAACACTTAGTCACTTAGAGTCACTTAGTCACTTTAAAATGTATATTGTCTCCATATTATGTTTATATTTGGTGTATATTTATTAGCTGAGCCTCACCACAAGCATTTCAATGCATAAATGTCCTGACATGTTGTGCAAATGACAAATAAACTTGAAACTTGAACTCGAAACTTGAGCTCACAGTGAGAAAATATAAATGCTATATAGAAAAAAAAGATGCATCGAGATGCATTGATAATCGTTTTATAATCGCATCGCAGCCCTCTGAATCGTAATCGAATCGAATCATGAGGTGCCTAGAGATTCCCACCCCTAATATATATATTGATGTAAAAGAAAACAGGACGAAGTGACGTTCTTCAATTGCTCCAAGGTCCAGTTCCAACATCTGTGCCCCATTGTAGGTGCTTTAGAGGTGGACAGGGGTTGGCATGAACCCTCTGACTGGTCTGTGGCTATGCAACACCATACACAGCAGGGTGTGATGCACTGATTTGTTGTGACACACTCCCCCTCACAAACAAAGTTAAAGTTTTTTTTTTAATTTTTTATCCAATTTTCTCCCCAATTTAATTGTCTCCAATTCCAACCGCTTGTTAGGACTCCCCCAATCACACGATACTACCAACGCTAAGAGGGCAAAGGCTAGCACAGGCTTCCTCCAAGACCTGTGAAGCGCCGCCGCATCTTCTCGATCGCTCACACGTCATTGGACAGCTGAACGCACTCGGAGGAAAGCGCCAACCGCCAGTTCTGTTATGTCAGCTAACAGACACCCCCGCTGACTAGCATCTCGTTGAGTGATGGGGGGAGGCATCCCTCCCCCCCCAGAGAGAGCAAGACCAATTGTGCTTTCTTGGACTCCTGGCCACAGATGTCTGTAGCATCACCAGGGATTGAACTCCTGATAATAGGGCCAACGCTTAGATGGCTGCACCACTCGGGACTTGTGTCACAGTATCCTTTCTGTCAGTTTGGACCAGACAAGATAGCATTTGTTGCCCTTGCACATCAATGAGCCTTGGGTGTCATTGGTTTGTCCCTCCTCAAACCACTGTGGGCAGGTACTCCCCTTTGCAGATCAGGAGCACCCCACTAGCCTTGCCGTTTCAGAGATACCCCGACAGCGTCTTCTTGGCCATAATGATTTGGTCCTTGTTAGAGTTGCTCAGATCTTCACTGCTGCCCAATCTACCTAATCTAACAAATCGACTACAAGAACCAACCGTTCACTTACCTTTTGTTTTTGACACAAAATAATTAACCTTATTTGCTTCATCTGTAAGTGTTCACTATTTTTTGGTTCATTGGTGTATATTAAATGGACAAACAGAGATTTACAATCTGGAATAGCCATTTACAGGAATTTCAAAATATAATTTAGTTTCAAATATTATTTTTTTGTGTTGCTTGCAGCTTCGCAATAAATCTGAAGACTGGGCAAAGGGATGGAGATGACATTGCATTCCACTTCAACCCCCGCGTTGGGACACCCTCTGTTGTGCGCGACAGCTTCAGAAATGGGCGGTGGGAGAATCCAGAAGAGACCTCAGGGGGTCCATTTGTGAAAGGAGGAGGCTTTGATTTGTTCATGGTTGTTAAACCAGAAGGCTATGAGGTACAGAGCTTGAAGAAGTAAAACAAGTGAATTAACAACTTCAGTAAAATAAGTAAATTGTTACACAGACAGTTTTGCTTTATTTCCCTCAGGTAATTGTGAATGGGCACGTTTTCTGTATGTTCTGGCACCGTATGCCAGTGGAGAGCGTGTCTGCGCTTCATATCCATGGAGACATTTTCATGACCACCTTTGGCCTCATTGAAGTAAGTAGTTTTTGTTTGTGTACTTTTTGGCAACAGCTCTTGATAAAAGCACATTAATTACATCATCCATTAAAAATAGCGTATATGTATCAATTTTAAAAGTATTTTTTCTTTCCACCAGGTGGACAATGTTAATATGAAGGTCATCATGCCTGCCCATATTTGAGGATACTAATCATCTCCATTAAGTTTGTTTTTTCTTTATGTTGTATTCAAGTATCAAAATGATGATCTTGTAGTAGTCCCTGTTCTGACCACCTCCTTGTTTCTACTCTCATTGTCCATTTTATCAGCTCCACTTACTATATAGGTGCACTTTGTAGTTCTACAGTTACAGACTGTAGTCCATCTGTTTCTCTGCATACTTTGTTAGCCCCTTTTACCCTGTTCTTCAGTGGTCAGGACCCCCATGGATCCTCACAGAGCAGGTACTATTTGGGTGGTGGATCATTCTCAGCACACTGAGAATTACAAAGTGCACCTGTATAGTAAGTGGAGCTGATAAAATGGACAATGAGCGTAGAAACAAAGACGTGGTCATAATGTCTTTCCTGATCGGTGTAGGTAATGAGGTTTTATTTAATAATCCAGTGCTTCAGGTGTCTGCTGTTTGATGGTTTATCAAGCTGAGAGTTAAAGGTACACAAATAAAGTTTTCCTAATTTGATGAAAGATTGCACATCACAAAATAACCAATGTCTCTCAATGTAACTCATGAAGTTGCTTCTGTAGAATTTGAAAAAGTTGCGCATTTCTCTTCAAATTATAGTAAGTATAATGTGAATCTTCTTTGCTTTCTCCAGTTGAAAATGACTCAAGTTCAGGGACAGGGTATTCATCCAGGCTTTATGCTTACAATATAGAATGACTCTTATTTCACCTCTCTTTAAGCTAAGCATATCACTGCTGTTAGGAGAAAACCTCATATCTCCATTTTTGTCATTTATTCAGTTTTTGACAATGTGATCATGTCTCTTGCTCTTTACTTTATGTGTAAATTTCTTGATGAATGAACCAAAAGAAACAGCCCAAAACTATTTGGAAAACACTCTGGTTCCACTGATTTACATTAAAAGTAAAGTATATTTTTCCTTCTCCTGTAAAGTTACCATTTTGGAGATACAAGGTTTTGTTCTGACAACAGTGATATAACATTGCAGTGAAACTTTATACACTGGTTAGGTTTTAATGGTACAGCATATATCTGCAGAAAGATTGAGGTCTCAAGTTATTTTAATTTGTACAAAAAATATTAGGTTATCAAGAATCTGCCCTACGGAGACAAAATAGATAATATATAGATAAGCCAATTTTCCAGCGCATGGTACAGCTTGACTCGACTACACTTGCTTTTGGTACCAGCTACTTCGTTTTCCACTGCAGATACAGTACACCCTCGATGTAGCTGGTCGCCACATGAAACTGCCGATATGTGAAGACAAAATGTGGTTCAGAAGAGGCTGATGGCAGCAAGATAAAATACCAGGAGAGTTTGGGAAATACTAGAATCAGAGTTCAGACGACTAGACAATTCTGGTAGCTCAAAGGCGATGCAAGAGTATGCTACCTGGTTGCTAACATTAGCATATGTGTTTAGCAATTCTCTCCAACCAATCTGTAGTCACTAGCTTTTTTACATCACCTTCTGGTATTGGTTCAGCTCGCTCGGAGCCTCGACAGAGGTGGTACCAAAAATTGTACCTGGTATCAGGTCCCAGGTACCAGATTTGCCTGGTGAAAAACTAAAAAAGCAAGTAGAGTCAAGTCGAGCTGGTACCATGCAGTGAAAAAGAAGCTTTAATGTAACTGTTATGTGATTAATACTGGCAAATTATGGTTTTATCACAATGCAAAAAATGTGACAGTGCATCACAATGATTTTATTCACACACAGTATAAAGTATTGACTTGATTCTTGGACCAAATGTTTTGTTATGCTACTACTGGTAATCTTAAGTAGTTAGTAAATTTGGAGGATATCTAAAGAATAATATGTTTCATCTAAGAATCCATAGCTTTAATGACTAAAATCACAGATTTCAGTAGAGAATTTGAATAGAATTTTATTTAAGCAAGTTTAATTTAATTTAATTGGCCAAATAAACAGTGTATTGACAATAATGTTTAGTGCACTGGTGTATTGATTTTTTTTTATTTGACAGCTTAAATGGTTTAGCTTTGGTATTATTTGCTTTGATTTTTCTTTAACATTGTTTTTTCTGCTTTTTCATTGCACCTTCATGCATTTTATTGTTATCTTCTTGAAGCTCCTGCTATCCAGATGTAACAAAAAAAAAGATTCTTGTTGGATGAAGTTCTCTGAATAAAGTTCGACAGAATCACATCAGTGGATTTTGTGTTTACATTTAGAAAAAGTTCTGAAGTGGAGCAACCAGAACAAAGATCTTGAAAATATTCTTTCAGTCTTCAGTGATTCCAGCTGAAAGATACTTAGCATCGAGAGCTTGCATACACACACACATCTGGTCTATAATATGTCTATAATAGCTTGACTTTTTGATTATGTCCCTGAAAATCACTTGAAAGCATTACATGATCTCTAGGCAGAGTGGATGGTGTTGTTTTCTCTCCATCTCCAAAGCCACAAAGAAAATGTCACCTCTGGATCCATCTGTATGGCATACCTGTGTGGTTTCCAGAGACACTCGTTGTGGAGAAACATTCTTTCACAGTAGCCAGAACATGTTTTTCAGCATTATTTGAGCCAAATGCTACAAACTGTTTCTGCTCTTCTTGTCAAATTTATACTAAAATGTATATGAATAGGGACAGGGAGAAGATGTTTTAAGCTGGGGGTGCTGAAAGCAATATATGCCCGACATGAAAGGAAATAACATTGTTATGGTAAACAATGCCAAGCCCATGCTTTACTATGTTCAATTTAGTTTCAAGTCTAGATCCTTTATTATTATGTTTACTAGTTACAGGTAACCAACCCTAAATGAACTCTGGGGGTGCTGCCACACCCTTACTACCTCCATTTCCTGTGCCCCTGGTGACTAACGCAGATAAAAAAACTGTTATCCAGAACTACAGGTGGGAGCGGGACAAACCATTTTGGTTGTGGGCAAATGGTGCAGATTTTCTGCTGGAGCAAGATAAAGTCTTGCATGAGTGGACAGGAGCATGACTAAAAAACATCAGTCCAGTGCAGACCTCTACCTTGAGGCATATCCATGACCATCTTTCCAGCTCAAGATTGAAGATTCAGAATACAGGTCAAAAATACAATAATTTTTTTTTAACACAGCTGTATTGTGAGTGTGCAAATACTACCGTTCAAAAGTTTAGAATCACTGCTTGTAAAAATATAAAACTAATTTGTTGAAAAAACATTCAATCATTCATCATCATTAACCACCTAATCCAGATAGGGTCACGGTAGCAGTTGGGAGAGCAGAGAATCCCAGATGACCCTGTCCCCTGCTAATTCTTACATCTTATTCCCGGAGACCCCCAGCCGCTCCCAGGCCAACTTGGAGATATAAACCCTCCAGTAGGTCCTAGGACAACCCCAGGGTCTCGTCCCAGTAGGCCGTGCCTGGTACAACTGCTTCAAACTCAGCTGCAAACTGGTCCAGTAAGCGCTAGAGGTACCATGCAATCCAGCCAAAAGAACAACATCATGTGCAAATAGCAAAGATGCCACCCTCCAGCCTCCACACATAATCCCCTCCTGACTTCGGCTACGCCTTGACATCCTGTCCATGAATATCACAAACAGGAGTGGAGACAAGGCACAACCTTGGCAGAGCCCAATGCTAACAGTGAAAGAGCTTGACTTAATGCCAAGTATATGAACACAGCTCTCACTCCGGGAGTACAGGGACTGAATGGCCTGGAGTAGTAGCCCCAGCACCCCATACTCCTGGAGAACCTCCCACAAGATATCTCAGAGAACATGGTCATAAGCCTTCTCCAAGTCTAACAAAACACATGTAGACTGGGTTGGCAAGCTCACATACCCCCTCAAAAAATCCATGAGATGGTGAAAAGCTGGTCCATTGTTCCACAGCCGGGACGAAATCTGCATTGTTCCTCCTTAATCTGAGGTTCAACTATCGGTTGGAGTCTCCTTTCCAGCAACTTGGCATAGACTTTCCCAGGGAGGCTGAGCAGTGTGATACCCCGGTAGTTGGCACACACCCTCTGGTCCCCTTTCTTAAAAATATGGACCACCACCCTGGTCTGCCAGTCCAAGGGTACTGTTCCCGAGGTCCATGCAATCGTGCAGACACGTGTCAGCCACAACAGCCCCACAACATCCAGCACCTTAAACATTCCAACTACCTCAAAGACCTTCACCAGGGAAATGGAGTCTGGCATGCCAGAAGCCTCTGGCCCTGTCTCCCGCGAGGGAGGCTTGTCTCTCGGATTAAGGAGATCCTCAAAATGCTCCTTCCACCGACCGACAATATCCTCATTTGAAGTCAGATTTTCTCCACCCTGCCAAATACAGCTTGGGCGAAGCCACCCCGACCTCTCCTGAGTTGCCGGACAGTTGTCGAGAACCTCCTTGAGGCTGCCCGAAAAATCTTTTTCCATGGCCTCAACAACCTCCTCCCAAGCCCTGTATTTTGCTTCTGCCACCATTGCCACTGCCACCTTTTTTGCTTGTTGGTACCTATCTGCTGAGTCAGGAGTCCTCCGGGCCATCCAGTCCCTGAAGGCCTCTTTCTTCAGCTTGACGGCCTCCCTCACCACTGGTGTCCACCAGGGAGTTTTTCGGTTGCTGCCCTGACAGGTACCAACAAGCTTATGGCCACAGCTATGCTTGGCAGCTTCCACAATGGAGGATTTGAACAGGGTCCATTCAGACTCCATGTTCCCTACCTCCTCCAGAACATGAGAGAAGCTCTCCCGGAGGTGGGAGTTAAAATCATTCTGAACAGGGGCCTCCGACAGTCATTCCCAGCACACCCTCACTATTCACTAGGCTTGATGCCTACCGCATCTGACCATCAGTCTTCCCTGCCATCTGATCTAACTCACCACCAGATGGTGATCAGTTGACAGCTCAGCACCTCTCTTCATCCGAGTGTCCAGGACATGGTCCCAAGTCAGATGAAATGACAACAAAGTCTATCATTGACCTCTGACCCAAGGAGATCTGGTACCATGTACACTTATGAACATCCTTGTGTTTGACCTTGGGGTTTGTTATGGACAATCCATGCCTAGCACAGAAGTCCAACAACAATTCTCCATTTGAGTTTAGATCGGGGAGGCTGTTATTCCCAATCACACCTCTCCAGGTCTCCCAGTCATTGCCAACATGAGCATTGAAGTCTCCCAGTAATACAATGCAGTGTGTAGGTGGGGCCATTTCCAGAACCCCACCCACTCTCTCCAAGAAGGCTGAATACTCCGACCTGTTGTTTGGTGCATAAGCACACACAACAGTCAGTTTTCCTCTCTGCAATTTTAATTTGCATTGAGGTGACCCTCTCATCCACCAGGACAAACTCCAACTGCACTCGTGAGTATCCCCACACCGGCCTAGCACCTCTCACCCTGTGCATCTCCTGAGTAGGAGAGGGATACAGCCCTATCAAGTAGTTAGGTTCCAGAGCCAACACTGTGGGTGGACGTGAGCATGACTAAATCTAGTTGGTACCTCTCAACCTCCCTTAGCTCTGAAGATCCCTAGACCATGCAAGCCCTTCCGCCCTGGCAAGGCCCCGATCCAGGAAAAAACATGTACACCATTATTTCATTATGACACTAGATCATTTATCATTTAATCATTATTCCCAAGAAACTTGATATAAAACATCTATAATAATGTGGTCACAACTGTACATTCACATATATGCACATATATAGATAATGGTAGCAGTTTCTGAAACAACACAAAGAAAAAGTACATGCACATCAACACCACATTTATATATATTCTCTTAATAAACTGCAGTAACATAAAGGCTGTTGCAATGCAGATGTAATCAGCATAATTATACTTTGTGATAAACATCTAAACTGTGAAGCTCCCAACATGAATAACTCAGAAACATGCATTTGCACTGATTAAGTCTATATATCCACAACAGTGACTAGCCAGTTAAACAGCATTGCACTCAGTAGCCTAGCTCGCCGCCCAGCTTGTGTAAAGGGTTATTTGTAATAACCCTCAAAAAACATAGATAGCATTTTTCCTGACTCCCTTAACTGAACCCTCAATAGATTATCTTTACCTTTCAATGAGCAGTTTAAATATAGAATATAAATTCACATTAGCTCCAACTGCTGTACAGGCGACCATAGAGATGGATAGGCTGCCACAGCATCATGAGTGATACACAAGAAAATAAAAGTCCCCCTTTTAGTCAATGTGTGACTCATCTTATCAGCATAGGCACATAGGTGTAAGCAGTGACCACACACAATGGTAAGAATTTAAACAGTGACTGAAATATGAAGAATTCATAACGCTGCCCGCCTCCCTCCATCAAAGGGATTTAAAATGTTTTGTGTTTTTAATGTCAGTGTTTGCTAGTTTGCGATAGAGTATGTGTTATTTTTGCTACTCTGTAACGGAGAGTGAGCTTAATTAGGTTAAGTCCACCATGAAGCAGAGCTGGATGGTTAGAAGTGACCTTCCTTGCTATCTGGCTGTTCACCATGTGCCTTTTCTGATGGTGTAACTAAAGAGCAATTCTCATAGCCAGGCCGTGGGCTGTGGGTCGAGTGCAGCATGGATGGCAGACAGTTCATCACACCCATCAATATCCCACCTATGACCAGGCGTGCTCACTCACAGCAAGAGAGGTGCATCACACAGCTGGGAGGCCACCAATGTCAAGCTCATGTCAGTCACCAGTGGCAGAGCTGAGGTAGTGAGTCAGGGCTCCAACGTGCACAAGCAGCACCCTCTCCAGCATTGATTTCACAAAAATCAATACAAAAATATTTTGGTCTACTGTAGATGAATCTTATGCAATGGCTAGTGAATGCACAAGTTAAAACAAGCACTATTTTTCTACCGAAAAATTTGAAGCCAGGGCTCAATTTAAGTAATACAATAATAGCAGTATTTTGTTAAGTGTATAAACTATAGTAATATGCAATGATTGAGTTTGAAGTCATTTGTTTTTTCAAATATCTAATTAAAATACTAGATAGTGACAGTTATTCAGTGACAATACTACTAAGACTACTACCACTACTACTACTACTACTACTACTAATGATAATAATATTAATAAAGCTTTCAAAATACTTGTTCTCAGGTAAAAACCTACCAACCATAAACATTCCTAAAATTCTACATTGGTCAAAACCTGTCAACTTTCTGATGCCTGAGGAAAGAGGAAAAGCATTCAACCATCATTTAGTTACTTCTTTAATTGAGTTCCAGATAACAATTTTCGTGTCAAACTGTACAGCAAACCCCTTTACTTGACACTCTGGAATAGCACCACAATCAGATTTTCTAGCAGATTCCTCTTCAGACTGAATGTCAACTCAGTAACAAGAATGTTTTTGTTCTAACAAACATTAAGAACTCATAATCAAAATGAAGTCAAACTAATATTAAGCACTCCTGACAACGAAGAATCATTTGAACCAGGAAATATCACCTCAGTGTAACAACCACAGCACCCATTTTTAAAATGTTTGAGGCTCAGAGATGTCCTCATGGTCGCATCTTGACGTGTTGATGTCAAAATTTATGCTGCACGCTAATTCTTATAATGAACTAAGATACTTAAATGCATTATGTGCTGCTAAATCTAGTCTTTTTAACAGGCTAAACTCTAACTCCCGTCATCGATTCTCAACCATCTCTAAGCTTTTCAAACCCCCAGTAAGCATTATAGCACCTTCCTCTGTAACTCATTCTTACATTTCTTTGAAAATAAAATATCTAAATCAACAACTCACTTATGGTCTCCTCCCCTAAAACTTCCTTTTGCTCTCCTTTGAACACCCAGCCTCTAGACTCCCCCTGCTTCCCTGCTTTCAACCCTGTTACTGAGTCTCTTGTTAGTGAAATCTACTATTACTAATTATAAAAGTACGATCTGCTCCCTTGACCCCATCCCCACACCACTAGTCAAAGCCTGCATGTCTGCTTTGGTCCCCCATCTCACTTCTATCATTAACCAGTCATTATCTTTTGGCCATGTTCCTTACTGAACATGGGACTAGCTAGTATTGTCTTTCTTGGTTCATGAGTTTTGTGAAACAAGGTAAACTCAAAATTAATGGGTATGATGATGAAGAAATACATGAAGAGATATGGTGTATGTGTGAAGTTGTCCAACACTGAGGGTGACGGGCTTTGTGATGTGTGTGACAGTTCCCTGTCCAATAGGTCTTTTGTCAATTGCATAAATGTGGTCAGGGATAGAGTTCTTGGGTAGGAATATTGAGCTGTTCAACAATGGCTTGGTTTATGAAGTTCTCTGCTGCTCTGGAATCAAGGAGGGCTGTAAAGGAAAAAGATCTGTTGAAGTAATGAAGAGTCACAGGAAGTGGGAATGGCCCAGGAGTGGCCTGAGAAATGTCCTGACTCACCAGATCAGTGCACAAGTTTTGATTTGGTCACGGTTCTGTTGAAAATTACCTTCCCACAGTAGAGGCATAGCCTGATATTTATACGCTGTCGTCGTTTGGTGGCACTGAGATGCATTCTACCCAAATGCATAGGCTCTTCCTCTTCTACATGGAGGGAGTCTACATTCATACCAGAAGCAACGGCAGCCTGTTTAATCTCGCGCGCCTCCATGCAAAGACAAAAGTGCGGAAAGTTCTCATTCGTGAGATGTTGTTTGCCGACGATGCCGCCTTGACGGCGCATACCGAGGCTGGCCTTCAAGAGCTCATCAACTGTTTCTCCGACGCTTGCAAAGAGTTCGGTCTCGCGATCAGCACCAAAAAGATCAAAGTCCTAGGTCAAGATGTCAGCTCGGCACCCTGCATCTCCATTGGTGACTGCACTCTCGACGTGGTGGAGGATTTCACCTACCTTGGCTCCACCATTTCCAGCAGTCTCAACCTAGATACTGAGCTGAACTCCAGAATCGGCAAGGCCTCGTCAGCCATGGCCCGCCTATCAAAGAGAGCGTGGGACAACTCCATGCTAACCATCAAGACAAAGATTACTGTATACCAAGCCTGAGTGCTGACCACTCTGCTGTATGGTAGCGAGTGCTGGACTCTGTACTCCCGCCAAGAGCGCAGACTCAATACATTTCACCTCCGCTGCCTCAGAAGAATCCTAGGCATCTCCTGGCAGGACCACATTCCCAACAAAGAGGTCTTAGCGCGGGCAGGAACCACCAGCATGTTTGCTCTGCTCACAAAGCGACGCTTGCGTTGGCTCGGCCATGTGACCCGCACGCAAGACGGCAGAATACCCAAAGAAATTTTGTTTGGCGAGCTTGCCACTGGCTCTAGACCCACAGGAAGGCCCAAACTCCGCTACAAAGATACGTGCAAGCAGGACCTCAAAGCGGGTGGCATCGCTTTATCAGGCATTGAAGCAGTGGCAGCAGACCGCAGCGCCTGGAAACTTGTCGTCAAGTCAGCTGTTAAGATGTCAGAGCAGGGGAGAGAAGAGCAGTGGGAGGAGAAAAGGAGCAGAATCGGCACCTGCAGTACCAGTAACCGACTTCACTTGCAGCACCTGCAACAGGATCTGTCGCTCCAGGATCGGGCTCTACAGTCACAGCCGGCGCTGTAGTTCAACCACAGACTGATACCCATGGCGCAATCTCCATTGTCTCCCGAGACAGACGGATGCCAACAAAAAAATTCACATGCTGCTTTCTGCTCAGTCCTGAGTTCTTGATGCCACATGCATGTTGCTCTGAATCAGCCATTTCCATTGGTAAACAATCTCTAATATCAAGTCTTGAGTGTTGCCTCTCTCAAGGTACCCTCGAGAGTAAGTATTAATTAAAAAAAAGGAAACTTCTACTCTCTAGTGTTCCTTCAGTTTTTGTCTTGGGGTACCTCTGGTAAATAAAGGTTCTTTGCTTTTATTTGGGAAACTCTTAGTGAAAGAGTGAAAAGGATTTTTTTGGTCATTTTGAGAATTTCTTAGTGGTTTGAGAGTACCCCTTTTAAACCCTTCAGTTGGCATTACACCATTCTCTCAGGTGTTGAGTGGCATAGCGCATTATTTCCTCAAAATCAAAATTGTCATCCTCCCCCCTGACCAGTGTCTTTCTTTGTTTATTTAATTTCCTTTTGAGGTCTTTTTTATCTCGAGACTGTTTGGTTGTTTTTCCCAAGTAATTAGCCGTTCAATTTTCTCAAGTCAAATTTCTCACCCTCAAGTCCCTGTTGCTATGCACTTGAGACCACCTTCACATGTCCACCAGGTGGTGTGTCCCTTAGTGCTTGTGTTTACTGTCCTAAAGGTGGTGAGTTCAATGCTCACACAGAGTGAACCACCTGGTGTGTTACACAATGTCTCTCCCACAATAGCAGGTCCAAACAGGTAATCATTTGATGAGGTCAGCAAGCAAGTTCTGTTTTTATTTGTTTTTATTAAGTTCAACTGCTGTAGTTTTGAAAGTCATATATGCTCAACAGTTCAGAATCTCCTTTGTCACATTTTTCATTTCATAATGCAGCAAATATTTTCTGTGGATGACAGGTTTGGATGGCAGGCAGGCCAGTTTAGCACCTGGACTCTTTTAATAGGGAGCAATGCTGTTGTTATACATGCTGAATGTGGTTTGACATTGTCTAGCTGAAATAAGCAAGGCCTTCCCTGAAAAAGATGTCATCTGGATGGCAGCATATGTTGCCAAAACAGGTATATATCATTCATGGTACCTTCACAGATGTGTATGACACTCATGCCATGTGCACTAATGCACCCCTCTACCATCATGAATACAGGCTTCTGAACTGTGCACTGATAACAAGCTGAGTGGTCTTAAGCCCGGAGGACTCAATGCCCATGATTTCCAAAAAGAATTTCAAATGTTGATTCGTCGGACCACAGGACACTTTTCCACTTTGTCTCACTCCATTTTAAATGAGTTTGGGCTCAAAGAAGGTGGCAGCATTCCTGGATCCTGTTTATGTATGGTTTCTTCTTTGTGTTTTAGAGTTTTAACTTGCATTTGTGGATGCAGTGACAAACTGTTTTCACAGACCGTGGTTTACAGAAGTATTCCTGAGCCCACGCAGTGATTTCCACTACAGAATCATCTGTTTTAATGCAGTGCTGCCTGAGGGCCCAAAGATCATGACAGGCAAATACTGGTTTTTGGCCTTGTCCCTTGCAAACAGAGATTTCTCCAGATTCTCTGAATCCTTTAATGATATGATGTACCATAGATGATGAAAAGCAAAAGTTCTTTGCTATTTTACATTAAGAAATGTTATTCTTGAATTGTTGCACACAAGATTGCACTGAAGACAGTACTCTATTTTATTTTCATCCTCATCATTAAGAAGACTTTGAGTTCAGAAATTAAAGACATCCTTAATGTTTTACACAATTACAAAGGGTCTACTCAACATACACGCAATTAAACAATTAAATTTTTTTAGTTCAACATGAACGTATTTTGATTATTAGATGGAAAATTTGCAGATTGTTCATTTGAAATATCTCTGATTTGTTTTGGATGTGACTCGATCTGATTGGCCTGTTTGGTTGACTAGATTGTCCTATAAGAGATCTGATTGGATGGTGGTGTGCAGCGTCTGGTGGACTGGATTTGTTTGGATGATGCTGGGCTCCATGTTCTTGTAGAAAGGACAGATTCCACCCAATTTTTGGTGTCTAGGTTAGGCCTCTTCATGGACTGTGTTAACCTAAAAACATAAGGGACAAATCAGTTATACACTGTGTTTTTGCTATCAGTTTTGAAAGACATAAATTCCAGTTTTCAGTTCAACTCACCTCACTTCTGCTTGACTTGTGAGAACTGGTAGAGAAACAAGCTGGAGAGAAGAAGAAAGAGCAAATTTACAACTAGCAGTTTCTTTGGGTGTGCGTGTGTGTGTGTGTGTGTGTGTGTGTGTGTGTGTGTGTGTGTGTGTGTGTGGTGTGTGAACCATTACCTCTTACTGTACAGCAAGATTTCCCCCATTTATAGTAAAGTGCCAGAGACAGAACTCAAGGTCAACAGTAAAGCAGACACGCACACAGGAATGATGTTCTGCCGACCTGTGAAGTGATTGATTAATATTAATAAATTAATAAATGCTACATCCATTTTAATGCTACACATAAACTTAATATCTTTTAAAAACTATATATAAATACATACATACATATATACACATATTATTAGATGGGAAGTTTGTTCATAATGTTATGCCTGATCGGTATATATCACTGCTGTCAGAACAAAACCTTGTATCTCCATTTTTGTCACTTTTCAGTTTTGACATTATTTGAAAATGCATGTTGCTCTTTACATTGTTAATTGGGGGAGTCCTAACTAGCGGGTGGAATTGGAAACGACTAAATTGTGGAGAAAATTGGATAAAAATCCAAAAAACTATATAATATAAAATACAATCAAGTTTGTCAGCCAAAACATTAAAAGTCATTTCTATTGTTATTACTATTGTTAATTCAACAAAGGTTCAAGAGAATTAACAAGTCAGAGATACTTGTTTTTTGCTACACTTTAAAAATTTCCCAACTTTTCCGGAAGGGTTTGTATATTGTCTGTTCTCCTGTTAGCACATGTGCACTCATGTCCTCATGTCTTAATTCCCCAGTGAAGTAGCCTGAACATTTTTTGTTATACTATAACATGTAATATAATATTGTAATGTTGAATTGAATTGAATAATCACCATTACGTGTTTGACATACCAAAAATACACTGAACTACAGTCAGCTC